CACCGTATCCGGCACATACGGTGCACAGATACCGTACCATAATTTATTATAGAGTGCTGGCCGAGACAGTCAAATCAATGGTCACAGGGCTTATCCGTGCAGTTTGACAGGCCAGCCGATGCCGGGCTGTCCAGAAGTAGCTCATCCTTTTTCAGTAGATACACAAGTACCTAAACTCCAGTTTTACCCCCTGACGGTAACCAAATCTAGATGTGGGAATCTGTTGAGCAGGAGAGTGACACATGTCTTCCCGAAGGCTGTCCAGGCTGCAGGGGTGATGAAGAAGACACGATCATCACCCCGAGATCGATTGTAGTGAATTGGAAAACTCATGGTGAATTTGCTTCCACTCCAAGGCAATGTCGAGGTATGAAGGGTGCTTGTACTGCCTTCCAAAGTGAAGAGGAGATGAACATGGCTTTGCATAGCTGTTGTTCTATGCCAACTTACCTTCTCTTGCTGGTACCGTAGTGGCATATTGCAAATTTCGTGGACGAACAACTCTAGTCACTAGTGGCTAGTGAGCAACACTAACAGGTGAGATTTTTCAAGTCGACAAAAATTGTTTTTGTTTGAGAACAGACAGTGGCAGTCATTAGACTCAGTAGGTGTCTCTCTGCTGCTTCTTTCCCTTCATCGGTAGGATTGTGTGTTGGAACGTTCTCCATTTGTTAGTGTTTGTCTTCGTTTAACATGTATATTACTGAGTATGTCGTAATTGGACACTGCTCGTCCTTGTGCGTTTCACTTTGTAACGTGGCTCCTCTGCTTCAGTTTTCGTTCTATCTCTCTGGCAGGGGCAACCACCACCCGTCTGGTGGGTGCCAGCATCCTCCGGCAGTTGCGCTGGGACTCTACGATACATTCTTGTTCTTCGATAATTAGAAATCTGCCTTTCTAGTTCTTCCGCTGTTTGAATTATTATTTATTTGTGTTGTTTCTTGCGGCACTCGCTTTTGTGTAGATTTGACCTTTTTGCATGTCCGCGTGAGTACAGATGACATCATGCATTATTTTCTGTCACGTGTTTTGCTTTGAGCGTGTCGTTCAAGATGTTTGAACTGCGCCCGCTGGCCGATTTTCTTTGCTTGCTGTTTTCTTTGCCAGTCAAGCGTGGGGACGCTACGCACCGTATACGGTGTCGTCCTTCTTGGCTGTGTGTCCGGTACGGGGCCGGGTACGTGCGTCCCCAGCTCTCCGTTCTTTGTTCTTTTTTGAGTAAGGCTGTGTTGACATGAGGCGTTTCAACCCGGGTTGAGTTCGACCCGGGTCAGATTTCAACCCGCCATGTGCACAAAGTGAATGGCGCGTTTACATGACGCATTGCGCTTGACCCGGGTTGAAATTTCGCCCCGGGTTGATTTCAACCCTCCCCCCAAGGGGAGGGTTGAAACCAACCCGGGTCAAGAAAATCGTACAAACGTACTTCTGTGCGTATATCGCGCCAGGTTTGAACAGCACTGCAGATGCAAATTTCGCGCGAACGGATTCACGTGACCATGCAGGACTGTAGAAGTGGACTTTTGGCGGCATATCAGTATTTGACCCGGGTCAACTGTCTTCATGTAAACGCTCACCTCTTTTGTCTATCGTACAGACTTTCGACCCGGGCTGAACTCGACCCGGGTTGAAATTTCTCATGTAAACACAGCCTAAGGCTGTGTTTACATGAGAAATTTCAACCCGGGTCGAGTTCACCCCGGGTTGAAAGTCTGTACGATAGACAAAAGAGGTGAGCGTTTACATGAAGACAGCTGACCCGGGTCAAATACTGATATGCCGCCAAAAGTCCACTTCTACAGTCTTGTATGGTCACGTGAATCCGTTCGCGCGAAATTTGCATCTGCAACGGTGCCGTTCAAACCTGGCGCGAGATACGCACAGAAGTACGTTTGTACGATTTTCTTGACCCGGGTTGGTTTCAACCCTCCCCTTGGGGGGAGGGTTGAAATCAACCCGGGGCGAAATTTCAACCCGGGTCAAGCGCAATGCGTCATGTAAACGCGCAATTCATTTTATGCACATGGCGGGTTGAGATCTGACCCGGGTCGAACTCAACCCGGGTTGAAACGCCTCATGTAAACACCGCCTTAGATTCTTCAATGGCAGGGGCGTAGGAGGGGTTTTGGAAGTGGTACGACCGAAGGTCGGTGCGGCCGAAGGCCGTGTTGGAGGGGGGTCCGGGGGACCTCCCCCGGGAAAATTTTGTAAAATTATTATTATTATTATTATTATAGGCTTTTCCGCGTTGGCATCGCCAAGCAAGCTTGGCTAGCCTTCGCATAAGCTGCTCCACAATGATGAGACGAAACAATGAATGTATGTATACACGATCTAGGACAGAACCAAGGTTGAGGATATTTTTGAAGAAAGCTGCAAGTTGTGTTGAGGAACGCAAAGTTACAAACTCTACGAAAGTAAACTGCAAGAAATGTTTTGGGGTTGATCTCATGATTATTGTAGTCACAGGTTGTGTTAGTAGCATTAAAGGTTGTGTTTTCACAGGTATATTGTTTACATTCCTATTCTTTTACAGGATAATATTTTCACAAAATATGTTGGTCAATGAGTTATGTTATGGTACACCGTACGGCCATGCAGCTGCCACAGGTAGAAGCAGTATTAGGCTTTGATGTATGCTTTTATCACATTGCTGCATAGGTCTTTCCAGTCTTGTCGTGACTGGTAAAAGGACACAAAATCCTGCGTTCTGGGAACTTCTGGCACACTTCTGGCGCAGTGTGCAGTCGAGTCGAGCACAGTACTCAGTACGACTGCAGATGCATAACAGATCTACGAGTACGAGTCTAGAAAAAAGGTCAAAGTCTGATGCGCATATATGCATCGATGGATCCTGATTTTTTTTATTACGGTTTTGCACGTTCCGGACGGACCACACTTTTCGTAAAGTGGTACGGCCATGGTCGTACCAGTCGTAGCGGGTGCTACGCCCCTGAATTATGGTGTTTTGAGAACATGTTTGGTAATACAGTCTTCTAAATAGTTCGATGCTACCAATGGTTGTGTCTGATGTCAGTGTGGGTTTGCGAGGGAACCGGTGAACCATTTGGTCCTTCGAGCCGGATCCGACAGGTTTCGACTAGTAGTGTCAGCGGTGGCATGGTGGTAATGGCGTTTCCGCCGCCACCAGAGTTTGTGACTCGTAGTTTTACGCCACGCCATTATGGTACGAGCGTGGGTGAAACTCCTGTTGAGGAACTTGAGGACCGCTGGAAAGAG